CTGCTGTCAGCTCAGAGCTGGCTTCGGATCCTCTGTTCCCCTCTCTCTCTGTTGCTTCCTCGCTCACGCTCTCTCTCTCTCTCTCTCTCTCTCTGTCTCAAAAATAATAAACATTGAAAATAAAATAATACTGTATATTTGAAAGTTGCTAAGAGGATAGATCCTAAAAGTTCTCATCACGAGAGGAAAACCATTTTAACTCTGTGTGGGTGATGGATGTTAACTAGACTTATCAAATCAGAATGTTGTATGCGAGAAACGAATGTTATATGTCAATTAAAAAAAAAATACCTAGAGAAATCAAGAGAGCACTTCTCTGGCCAATCAGCAGGAGGTGCGGGACCTTAGATGACCATACTGCTGAGGTCTAGCAGGCTCGTTATGAACGGCGGCGTTTAATAACCTTGTGGACTTAAATATTTTGGCCATAAATTTAGGCCACGCCAATCCGAGCCAAAGCCCTTGGAAGCACTGGCGCTCCTTCCTTACCTCTCAGGCGCGGTTCCCTGCAATCTGTCTTCAGCCCCACCGCTCTCTCTCGGCTAAGTGCTCTCACCAAGGTTATAAATAACCTGCTCTTCCCAGAATCTCTGAAACTGCACCCACCTGGTTTTCCTCCTGCTTCTCTGGCTCCTTTGCAGTTTCTCCATGTTCTTAAGTTGGAGCGTTCCTCAGAACCCCGTCTGGGGGTCTCCTCTTTGCAGCACACCTGCTGCCTTCGACTTCGGTTGTCCCCCAAAAGCCAGTGGTGCCCAGACCTTCACTTCTCCAGCCAGCTCCAGGGCCCTGCGTCTGACGGCTTGCTTGGCATCTCCATGTTGTTTATCTGCCCCTCCTCCAGAATCGTCTGAGAGGACCTTCTCCCTGACCAGCCAGCTGCTGGAGCCGGTAACCTGGGCGGCTTCCTCCACGTTCCCTCTCCTGCGCCATCCATATAATCACCAGCCCTGAGTAGCCCTCCAACCCATCGTGGTTAGCACAGGGGCCCTGCTGTGAGACCCTCTGAGTTCAAATCCCAACTCCACCATTTAGTAGCTCTGTAACCTTAAGCAAGTGACTTACTCCCGCTGGGCCCCGGTTTCCTGATCAGCAAAAGAGAAATGTGATGCTTGCCGCAAGCATGGGCCGGACGATGGAATGAGTTCACGTGTGGAAATGTTTAGAACAGTGCCTGGCACTTCAGCAGGCTCAGTAAATAGCACCTATAGCCTCCTCCTCCTCCTCCTCCTCCTCTCCCCTGTTGCTACCCAAGTGTGGTCACCATCTTGTCTGGATTATTGTAATATATTCCCAGTGGTCTTTCGACTTCCATTTTTACTCCACCCCTCACCCCCATTCATTCTCCATACGTGATCTGGAGGGGCCTTTTAAAATGCAGATCTAACCATTTACTCCCCAGGTTGGATCCTTCCAGTGGCGTTGTGTGGCCCTTCCAGTCATAACCTTCCACACTCCAAGTGAACTGGTTCCTGCCTACCCTGCAGCCCTTCTGTTGCTGTCCTCCCCTCTCTCTGCTCCAGCTGCACTGGCCCACCTGTTCCTCAACCTCACTGCTGCCCCCAAAGCTCCTGTACCTGCTGTCCTTTCTGTTCAGCGTCTTGCCTGGCTCACTCCTTAGCAAGCCCAGCGTCATCTCCTAAGGGAACCCTTGCCCCCTAGATCATGTGATGCCCTCCCCATAATAACCATCTCTCATAGAAGCCCACATTTCCGGGGCAGCTGGGTGGCTCAGTCAGTTAAGCGTCTGACTTCGGCTC